CAGCCTTCCACTGCTGGACGCGTGAAAACATCTCCGTCGAGCAGAGAGCGCAGCAGGAGCTGCAGCTCTACTACATCGTGAGTGCTCAGCCTGCCGGCCCTCCATGCCTGCAGCATCTTCCTGCCCCTCGGGGTACTCACCCTGGCCCAGGGGCTTATTCTCTAACCCCAGCCTTTCCCCATCCCCAGCCGGAGAGGGAGGGGATGTTCCACCGTGGCTTGGGGCTGAACCTGACCAGCGGGCAGTACATGGTCCCCATCGCAGGGTACTACACCTTCACCGCCACGCTGCACATCGGTGAGCCCTCAGGCACCCCCCACGGCCCTGCCGGGGAGGTCCAAGACGGCTCTCACCCTCCCATCTGTCCCAGTGCGAAGAGAGCAGCAGAGGAAGGGGCAGCCGTGCAGGGGGAATAGTCTGCGGGTGCTGATCTGCGTGCAGTCCCGCTGCCAGCACAACAGGTATGGCAGGGTAAAGCCAGGAGGGGAGAGGGACCCTAGGCCAGGGAGGGAGGGAGGAAGGAGTCCAGCATCCCCATGGGAAGGAGAGACGACACTCTCCTCCGCACCACCCTCCCTCTTCTGCAGCAAGTTGGAGACCATGTCCCGGCTGGAGAGCGTTGATGACCTTTTCACCGTCTCCGTCACCGGAGTCCTTTACCTGCAGGTTAGTGGTGGTAGCTCCCAGGCGGCAGGAAGGTGCCTTCCATAGTCCCAGCTCCAGGGCTGGGCATCAAGTCTGTTTCTCAGCCCAGCTCTGAGCCCAAAGGCCACTCAGGGCTGAGGCTGGGTTGCCCCACTGGCTTCCATGTCATCCTTTTCCTAGAAGGAAGGGGGGTGGACAGCCCCTCCTGCCACAGGCAGGGGAGACCTCTCTCTCTTGCTCTGCCGGGTTGTGCCCAGTGCCCGGAGAAGGTTGTCCCAGCCTCCTTAAGCCCTCTCTCCCTCCAGGCTGGGCAGTACGCCTCTGTTTTTGTGGACAACGCTGCAGGCTCTCCCCTCACTGTTCTAAGCGGCTCCGATTTCAGCGCCATTCTGCTGGGGGTGTGAAAAGGTGCTGGGCACCAAGCAAGGAGCTGAACGTGCACCAGGAACGGCTGGACCCTTCCCTCTGCCAGCCACCATCACATCTCCCCTGCTCAGCACCAAGCCCAGGGAAGACCTTTTGCTGCTGCAGGAGCTGCAGGCTGGCCCAGTGCTGCTCGCTCTGCAGAACCATCCGAAGCTGGACAAAAGATTGGGGAGGAAAGGATAATGATAATAAGAAATAATAATAAAGCATGACAAGGAGCTAAAGCAGTTCACTTTTATCTAAAGGCTAGGGCTGGAAGTTTATCTTGGAAAACACTGCTGACAACAGTGGCACCCAGCTGTTTTCTCTGTGGCGCTCAGCTCCCACCATGCTGGGCACCAGTGCTTGGGAGAAAGCTCCATGCCTTCATTTTTGCTCTCAGCAGATTTCCCTGCCCAGCTTCTCAGCAGCCCCAAACAGATTATTTGTACGGCTTTAGCTTCCCTGCAATGCATTAGCAGTGTTTGCTGGCAGAAGCCAGTGTCCTTCGCAGCTAATCTTCAAAGCAGAGCAGCGGCCCGATAACGCCGCACATTTGATTAAAACAAATTCCCGTCCTGTGGCTTTCCACGCCAGGCGTTCCCTGCCCATGGCACAGGGCCCAGGCCGTGGGTCGCACAGATACACTGCTTGCTTGGGCTCCGATAGCCGTCTGAGCCGAGGATGGGCGCAGGGCTACGTGCCTAAGCGAGGGCTGCAGGAGAGGTATCCGGACGGGCTGGGCGTGGGGGCCGCACGTTTTATTTCTTAGTAGCACGTAGCACTGGGCAAGCTGTGCCAGCAACACCACGAGATAGCCCAAACTGCACCCAGCCCCACCTTCCCCCCCAAGGGATCCGCACACGTAGGCAGGGGGGAGGCAGCCTCCTCATGCTGAACCTCCCTCAGGAGGGCTTTCCTGGTCCCGCGTGGCCTTCTCCGCAGGTTGTATCTCCTCAAGGAGGCTGGTGAAGTAGCTGTTGCTGCAGCTCTTTGTGGGTGGGGGTGTTTGGATCTGGGGCGAGGGGGGCTCTGGCCGTGCAGTTTTGAACGCTGACTTCTTCCCCTTGTCTCTGAAAGGAAAGACGTGCTTTTCCCCCAGCCGAACAGGTGGGCAGAGAGAAGGCCTCTTCAGCTCCTGCCCAGCTAAGGAGCTCGGCCCCAGCAGCACCTCCCAGCTACCACACATGGCTGTGAGCCAAGGCAGTCTTGCTCAGATCAGCCACCTTCTCTTCCTACCAAACACACCCGGGAAGAGACAAAAGGACTCCCTGTTGGAAAGTGGGCATTGCCAAGCTGGTAAGCTGTCCTCTGTGAGCGAGACACAAAGAGCCCAGCGCACTTGAACACAAAAATTGAAGGAGTTGATTAAGTTGGAGCTACCGGGGGGCTAATTTAGATGTTGGGAGGGGGCTAGAAGCTCACTCAGCCCCAAGGGAGGGGAGCTGCATGTACAGCACTTCTGCATGGGCCACCCCGGGGTGGCAGCCCTGGAGCTGCTCCCTGTAGCAGGATGCTGCTGAGCAGTGAGGCAGGGAGAGTTTATTTTCAGGAAACCTCTAGCAGACCCCACCCTACCAGGAAATACAAGCGAACAGTTTTTCCGACTTCCACTAAAGCTGGGTTGAACCTGCCTTTCTAACCAGCTGGCTACTCAGAAGCATGATGAAACCAGCTCCACAGTGCTTCCTTTTCCCCTTTGCCCTGAAAAATGGATGATACGATCCATTTTATGGAAATCATTATTAACTGTACCATAACACTGTGTATTATGTTCCTAGTTGGAGTTGTGCTTTCAGTAGAGTTGTATAAGAGGAGGGAGAGAAGACAGTCAGAGAAGGACAAGCTGATACTTCTCTCAGCTCTTGCACTGGAATTAAGAGGGGCCTCCTGGATGGAGCACCAGGGAGACAGGTGCTTGGCTCAGCCCTCGCAGCGCAGCACAGCACACAGCTCTCCCCAGCACAACAGCTGTGAAAAGCAGGGAGGCGAGAAGGGAGGGCGAGCTGCTCTTCTGAGATCTGCCATCAGGGTTTCTTTTACCCCACAATAAACAACTCCATGCTACTCCATCTTGGCTCTCTGAATTTGGCTTTCAAGAGCAGCAGCGCGTGTTGCTAACATGGGCAATTCCCTCAGCTCATCCTGCAGCACAACCTTACATCAGAGTATGCAGCAACAGCTGGGAGCAGAACAAGCTGGCAGAGGCAAGCGCTACCCAAAACATGTGCCAGAGGCCTGCTTCCTTCCTCAGTGCTCTGCGGAAGATGCGGAGAGTTAGGGTAACTGGGCCTAGCTCACGCTAAGTGTTACTTAGCATAAGTCCATGAGCTTTAACTGACTTCTGCTGTAGCAGAAATAGATGAGAGACTGTCAAGCCACCTGTCCCAAACAACAGGATAGCTTTTGTGTGCTCAAGAAAACACATAGCCCAGGATCCGGGACCATCTCCCAAAGCTCCAGGGAACACAGGGGGAAGAAAAGAGCCCAGGAAGCCTCAGAACCCTGCACAGGACTACACACAAAATAGCAGGCACTGCTGCACTGACCTGCCTGACCTCTCTCTGGGACTGCACCGTTTCTCATGCAGAGCAAGGAGGCTGCACAAGAAACCACCGCACAGACCCACCGGCTCATCTCCCTCACTGCACCTGCTCACCCACAGGACAGGAAGGCTGCATCATCTGGAGCGTGAGTGCTTTGGTAGCCCAATCTGTTCAGCTTTCACACTGTCATTTGGTCTGAAGCCAAATTTTCTCTGGAAAACAGCACACTGACTCTCTGCAGCAGCAACTCGTACAGGAACGGGGAAGAGGTGAGACACCAGATGGTTAATAGCAAGCACTTAAAACCCCAGATGCCTGCTCCTCAGCACACAGGAAAGCACAGAGCCTGCCCTTATCTCAGCTACCTGGCAGGTCCATTTGGCGAAAACACTTTCCCAATAAATATCATGAGCAAACTCCAGCCACTTTTGCCATATCAACAACTGGGATAAAACCCCAATGTTTTCTGCAAGCTGAGGGAAGGTACACTGCTGCTCTGCAAGCAGTGTTTGTAACACTCAGCTGCATGCAACCTCACAACCCACCTTCAGAACCAAAAGGTTTCCTTTCCAGCAGTAAAAGGACAGTCCACACCACATCCCAAGCCTGGGGTACTGCGCAGTCTGTATGGTACAGCCCAACCAGAAGCTCCCACTGAGTCCGAAGCGCTCAGCACTCTCCTAGGGCCTCATACAAAGCTCAAAGAAACCAAGAGCAGAACTGTACCGTTTGGAACAGCTGGCAGAGCTCCTGCCCACAGATGCCTGCTCTTACTAGCACCTCTGCCAAATGGATTTATTTGGTTTGCGAAGACATTCACGGCAGGTTGACAGGCCAAGAGATTTCCGCATAGGCTGATCCACCATGGCAGCCACTTAGAAAACATTGCTAGCCAAATCAGCTAAAACTATTAGAAAAACAAAACAAAACATTTTATTTACACTGAAGAACATCCAGCAGGACCCTCCCTCCCCTGGCCACACATGCACGCACACCGACTTCTCCCTTCCCTTACATCCGCCATAAGCTGGGATCCTGCTGCTGCACCTCGTCTCTCAGTGCTCTATCCGGACCACCATGACCGTGACATTGTCTGCCGAGCCTCGCTGTACTGCCTTGTTGGCCAGTCTGTTACACGCAGCTTCATATCTAGCGTCTGCTTCTAGCTTCCCTTCTCTCGTCTGGATGTTCTTATCCTGTTGGGACGAGGAAAGACGACGCTGATTGCACCCAGCAAAGCACGTAGGTACAAGCCCATGGTCATTTCCAAGCATGCGGAGGCAAAACAAGAAAGGACAACCCCAGGTATTAGGGAGGATACCCTGGCAGGAGTACATTTCTGCAAGTCAGAGTCGTTCCATTTCGTGTCCCCTTGTGCTGGTTTTGGCTGGGATAGAGTTAATTTTCTTTAAACTAACTGGTACAGGGCTATGTTTTGGATTTGTGCTGAAAACAGTGATGAGAACCCGGGGATGTTTTTGTTACTGCTGAGCAGGGCTTACCCAGAGCCAAGGCCTTTTCTGCCTCTCACCCCACCCCACCAGCGAGGAGGTTGGGGGTGCACAAGGAATTGGGAGGGGACACAGCTGGGACAGCTGACCCCGATGACCCAAGGGATATCCCATTCCGCACGATGTCATGCTCAGCATATAAAGCTGGGGGAGGAAGAAGGAAGGGGGGGAGGCGTTGGGAGTGATGGCGTTTGTCTTCCCAAGTCACTGTTAACACGTGATGGAGTTCTGCTCTCCTGGACATGGCTGAACGCTTGCCTGCCGATGGGAAGTAGCGAATTAATTACCTGTTTTGCTTGCATGCACAGCTTTTGCCTTTCTTACTAAACTGTCTTTTTCTTAACCCACAAGTTGTCTCACTTTTACTCTTCTGATTCTCTCCCCCAATCCCCAAGCAGGGGGAGTGAGCGAGCAGCTGTATGGGGCTTAGTTGCCAGCTGGGATTAAACCACAGCAGCCCTGCACTGAGAAACCCAGCACCGCCCCGCCTTCTCCTCACCTCCAGGCAGGACACAATGAAGTTCACAGCTTCTTCTGGTGTAAAGACTTTAAAGAGGCCGTCACATGCTATCAGAATGAACCTGGAAATAAAACAGACACGGGTTCCAAGGCTGCATCTTTGGCTCCCCGGCTACAGCAAAATCCCTCCAAGGTATTTTATGAGTACCTACACTCCAATCCAAAGGGAAGATGCCATAAAGCTCATCTGAAAATCCCTCAGAAGCACCAGAAGTCCTCCGGTGCTCCAGAACCTACCATTCACGGAGCTGAGGCAATTCAAAGTACAGGCCAAAGAGCCAGGCAACCAACATAAGACCTAGATCAGGACATCCTGGCAGTCCTAGTGACACTGCACCATTAGGCAAGACCATACACCAGGCCCTGCTGGAATCCTCCATTATTTCTCTAGGAACTGCTTCTTTCCTTTCAGTCCTTTTCATT